GGTATGGTTCCTTCTCAATGTTTTATCTAATGACTTCTTTTATTTCCATTCACAATCTACTTTTCTAGGTAAAAAAAAATTGTTGTGTCTTCAATCAAATTAAAAGGCACGACTAATTACCATCAAATTGATCGTTCATCTGAGATAGCCGTAGAGTTTAATTATAAGCCTATGGCCATAGATGATTCATACAGAAGTATCATCCATCCCCACACTGATAGGGTCAGATTGAGAAAGATGATCTCTCTTTCAACCCCAAGTTCCTTACAGAAGTCAAGGAGTAACAGGCATAGGAACATCCCATATCAAGTCCTAGCACAAGATCACAATCTGCATTCAAGACAGATTTAGAGATAGAAACTACTAATATCCCTCTTACCAGTAAGTTGATTAGCTCTAATTTGTCCAAGATTCTTGCATCTTGTTACTCACTCTAACCTCCTTCATATCAGGTCTGACTCCCAATTTTAAAAAGAAATGGAAGTCTCCAAAGAAAACCACACCTTCCTACCCTGTTTCAATTGACAGTGATGAAGCTTGAGCCACGTAAGTGCAACGGCCTCCTACGGCTCGCACCCTCAACCCGACCAAACGGTCTTAATCCCGAAGCTTAGTCGGGACTTGACCAAATAAAACTAGAGTATTACTAACTTAAAGGTTTTCTCACTAATGATGAGATGCCTTATTGAATTCAACTCAAGTGATTTTTCCCAAACCCAAAAACTTGGGTATTTATAGGGAAGGGAGCCTTGATCTCCCTTCTCCCATTATTTTGGAGATTTGCATAATCCTCCATTTTATTTTAATCAAAAACAAAATAAAAATGCAAGGCAATCAATAAGCTCCAAGTGTCACATGGAGGGAGAGAGTAGGTGAGGACCATTCAAGGGGGGACCAAATCCCCTTGCTCACCAAGCAATCTCTCAATTTTGGTCCCCACACAAAAAACTGCATCACCTCGCCACGTGGCTGGCTGGCAGCCTGCCTTGGCTGCTAGCTGGCGCCTAGCACCAAGGCTAGGCAGCCGAGCCAGCCAGCTCGCAACACATGCGCAGCCAGATAGAATGCAGCCAGCCAGCACACGCATGCGCTACTGCTGCTGCTTGGTGCGTGCTGCTGTGCGAGTGGCAAGTGCTTAGTGCTGCTCGCTAGCAAGCACGCACAACCAGCTGCTTGGTGCTGCTACGCTAGCTTGCACGTATAGCCACACACAGGCACGCATGGATTGCGATGTTGCGTGCTGTGTTGTGCGACGCCCAAGCATGCTACGATGCTAGCGATGATGCAGCTGGTGCTGTTATGCTAGCAAGCACGCCCAGCTATGCATGCACAACCATAGCACACGCACGCATGGCACGCATCTTGCGATGCTCGTGCTGTGCAATGTGCGTGTGCTAGGTAATGCTAGGCACGCTAGCACGTATGCGGTTTGGGACCTCGCATGGCTAGACCAATGCGATGCTACGGCTTGGCTCGTACTTGTCGCTTGCTTGATTCCACGTCTCTTCGAAACCTAAATTCGACTCGACTTGCGACGCTTGGTCTCGACGCTCTAAGCTCGATATCTGACGTCTTTGTTCGTAATACTCTAATGACCTATCTAATCCTTCGGATTAATTTGTCGTTTCGGATTGGTTATTCGATAGGGGTGCAACCCAAAGGGTTCAGTCAAGATTAAGCCGTAATATTAATTATGCATTAATATTACTGATCGGAAGCTACCTCCACCCAGGCATTCCAATCACTTAACCTTACTGAAGAATTAGCTTTCTAATTATTCTGAACTCTCTATTAGAATAATACAGTTTTTGGAAGGACACCATTCCTTTCAATCTCCCACTTGTCCTTCCGGACAAGTGTGCAATTAGTGTATAGCCTATTTCCCATGTCGCTTAATGCCTCTTCGTGAACTATAAGGTAAGATTCTTCGTCATCCTTACTACGTCCAGAAGTGTTTCTTGATTTTTTGAGTTCGACTGTCAATAAGCAGATGATTTCTAAAATCCATCTAAGCACGGCCATGCATTTTCACAGTCTCGCTCTTCGAGAGGCCTTGTAAACAACAAAGACACATTCCCTATTGTTAATGGGGGGACATTCCCAGTCTTGTACTACAAGCTTCCCTTAATGAGGGGACCTAGCCGCCCGAGTGTTGCCGTTATAATCCCCTTTACGGCAGACGTTTGACAACATCAAAACGACTAGTACTCAAATTATAGAACTTACAATACTCATGGTCGAGGAAAAAGGTTCCGATAGCTATAATGAGAAATGTACTTATGACGGTTTTTAAATCTCTTAAAGTAATCTCATAGGTCGATCCGGTACAGTTTCCAAACTAGTACCCGTGCAAATGATTTATGACAATCATGTCCTCGTAGCACAAGAAACGGTGCTATAAATCATACTACACACTAATCTCAAGTGGTCATTAATCGTCCATCGTTTAAATGACCTTGATTAGGGATAATTTTCGATTAAAATATTCAATGTTCACTTTAACAGGTGTTTCTTTATCCAAGAGCTGTTGTGCTGCGATTGGTTCTGTTGTGATGCGCTGGAATCGGGTAAGAGCTTTTGAACTCTTCTTTGCTCGTTCGGCTTTGCTGTTGTTGCTCATGCCTTTTCGCTCAATCAAGTCGCCTCAAATCTTTTGCAAGGTTGCTCGTCCGCTAAGGACTTAGTGTACCTGCATCTATATTTTGGACTATAAGACTTTGCTCATGTTTATAGTTTCCTTGAGGTTGACCCAAGACTTGGTGTTACTTGACTCATTGTGTGACTCAATATGTTTAAATCAACTCGACTCAATGTAATGTGAACGTATGTGCAGACTCAACTCAATGTGGTATGACATGACTCAATATGCAGACTCAACTCGATGTGATGACACGACTGTGTGCATTGACTCGTGATTGCATTGTACAATGATTGTGCTCGTACACTCGAAAATGCAAAAAATCAAAAAATTTCCGTCATTTTTGTGGAGGGTACCGAATTCTCCCGAAAAAGAAAGACTTGAAAAATGAATGAAGGTAGAGTGTTGGTGTAAAACACTACTACATTTTTAATCAAATGCAACGGCTAAAAAAGAGCTATGGAAACGGCTCATTTTATTTTCGTTGCATTAGATAAGCCTAATACAACGCCATAAACTTTGTACATCAAAAGGTGGAGCTAACGCAACGGCTTTAAGAAGCCTTTGCATTAGGTTTACTAATACAACGACCTGAAAGGCTATTGCCACGGCAGTGATATTAAATACTCCGTTATTATATTTTTCTCATCTCTCTCGTAATCTCGTTCACTCTCCTCACTTCCTCACACCTCACACCTCAGTTCTCTCTCTCTCTCTTTCTCTCCTTCTCCCTCTTCTCTTCCTCAAAGACGAAGCAACCATCGCCGCAGCCACAACCACATCCACTACCATCGTCGCTCACAGATTAATTCTCTCTCTTTCTTCTCCCTCCTCATTCACTGATGGACACGGTGGTGTGTGGTCGCGAGTGATAGCGACAGTGCGATTCGATTTTTAGGCTTTTGATTGGTGTTTAGGTATGAGCTTCTTTAATTAAACTTTCCTCTTTAAATTTCAAATTTAGGGTTCCTTTGCATAATTAATATGTCAAATTTTTTTATTTTTTCGATTTAGCCTTCTCTCTTTATCTCTCCTTTTTCTTCTTTCTTGCTCCTCTCTAATTCATCTCTTCTGCATTCATTAGGAAACAGACTAATCTACCAAAAAACAAGTCCATGTTTAGGCTTTGATTTATATGATTTCAGATTTATGTCTAATTTTGGGGAATTTACGAGTCTTATTAACTATTGTTGCTAGGTTGTGTGATTTTGATTGCTTTATCTTGTGTTCACTGGAAATGTTTTGATGTTTATTTTCTAAATTTTTGAGTTATTTGATGTTTTCTATATATTTTAACAATGAGAATTTGTCTGATTAGGTATATCAGGGTTTAATTATAAGTATTAATTTATATATATTGTTCATTTTATTGTATAATTAGGGTTTAATTATTTAGATTCTGAGTTGATTACTTAATTAGTGTTATTTTTGGGGATTATTTGCTGTAAATTCTGTATTTGACTTTGAAATGAGCAGAATTTCAGGCAACTTGACTTAGGATGACAGTTTGTTCAAGTCTTGGTTAAAGGTACATGATTTAGGTGGAAATGTTTTTCTTTCTCTTGATCATCTTTTTCCCAAAACCAAATGGAAAAGGGTGATTTCTGATTATGGTTAGAACGGCTTGATTTCTGATTCAATTTTGGATTTTTTATTTCCTTTGTATGTTTGATTGTGTGATGCTGAGCAAATTCTATACTAAATGTGCATATGTTGAATTAGGGTCAATTTGGATGAACTTGTCTCTTAACCTATAATGATTTGTATGATTAGTATTAGTTGACTTAAGTGAACTAGATAATTGAATGAAGTATAAAATTTAGGCTGAATTGTCTTCTTTTTTTTCTCCTCTCTATTCCATCATCATTATTGCTTGAATATAATTGAGACTTTCTTTGCCTTAAATTCGATCTATTCCAAGTTTCATGAACTCAATTTTTAGGGTTTCTTTCTTTTTACAATGTCTATGTAAATTGATTTTGCATTTCTTGATTTTCCATTTAAGACTATAATTAGTCATGAAATCAAAATTTAGGGGTTTGGGGATTTTTTTTCTTGATTTTCCAATGTAAATAGTTGTTACAGGTTTCAAATAGGGATGCAATTAAGCTTAGGCTGCTTTTAAGATTAGTCAAATTCATGCTGATCCAACTAGAAGGATTCTACTCACACTTAGTCTCTGATTCAACATCGAACTCCAGGTGTCTAGACTCGTGTGCTACTAAACTTGATATTTACTTTTAATTTCTAGATTATCTGTTTCTTCTCATTAAAAAATTTTGACTTTTGTTTTAATTTTAATGCTTTAAATATTATCAAATGATTAATGCTCACGATTAATTTTTGAATTTAATTAGTGGTTGCTTGATACATGATTAAAGTTTATTAAATTTACATTGGTTGATTATTGTTATGGTGGTTAAGTGACCAAATTAAGCATTAGAATTGGTAATGTGGTTTCATACTTTCGAATGTCATGTCAAAAGAAAAAGTAAAGAAAAAAAATCAATTTCAATGTTAGGCAATGGTTGTTACTTTATTTATTGTTAAAGTGATGATCTTACTGATTTAATATGACAATATTGGCAAAATTAGGAATTTGTTACATTGGTTGTTGTTAGTAATAGTAAGTGAATTCAGCTTCCTAGTGTGGCAGTGTTTAAATGCCTCAACTAAGTATTCATGGTTAACTGTGATTCTTGTGTTCTATATCAGGCTAAGAGAGCTCTAAGAGCATTGAAAGGATTGGTAAGACTGCAAGCACTTGTTAGAGGGCATGCTGTGAGAAAGCAAGCTGCTATAACTCTTCGTTGTATGCAAGCTTTAGTGAAATTTCAAGCTCGGGTGCAAGCAAGGCATGTGCGTTTGGCTTTAGAAAGTCAAACTGAACAGCAGAAAGCTCATCAACAACTTCTACAGGAGGCACGTGTTCGAGAAATAGAGGTGATTACTTACTCTATTGTCAACGTCTATTATCTCTTTGGTTGCTTTGATTGGGACTGGGATCTGGCAATCTAAAAATATTATTAATCAGACCTTTGTAACCTTAATTCCTCTTTGGCAACCATCATTACTTGGATCAATTTCATGGTTTAATAGTAACCATGGTATTATACTATACATGAGACTAACTCTATCCAACATTTTAAAAAAAAAAAGCAATTTAAGAAATCTCTGTTTATTGACCCCTGCTTAGTTGCCAAGTGAAATTTCAATATGTTCTTGTCATATAGTGCATGCTTATTCTCATGTTCAGAATATTTTGTCATGTACCTGCCTATCCACATACACAGTTAGTTTTATTTCCATCCTACAATTCATTACAAAATTTTAGATATTAATTCCCTTAAGTTTGGAGTGTTGTTAGTAGATTCTTTTTGACAATCCATACTATGACATCTTAAAATCAGTGCTTGGTTTTTGGTAAAGCATGAAGTGTTTTGAAATAATGGGATGTTCACCCATTAGATCCGGCCTAAGCCTAATTATACATCTTACTGAATGTTTATGTATTCAGGAAGGATGGTGTGACAGTGTTGGCTCTGTAGAACAAATACAGTACAAGTTGCTAAAGAGGCAGGAGGTTGCTGCTAAGCGGGAGAGAGCTATGGCAAAAGCCTGACTAAACATATTACTGATTTGTTTGTGTGTTTTGTTTATTAGGGGATCTAGATCCATTGGGTATGTGTAAAACAGCGCTAGAGGTGGATAATATTGAAGTTGAAGAAGATGCTTCATGAATTGCTTTACGAGAAATTGGAGAAGCAGGAGAAAGAAATGATAATGCGCTCCACATAATTGCCGAAAATATTGTTTGGCGGACAAAATGGTTTAGTTTTAACTTTTAATTGTTTTTTCCTTAGTTTAACTAGTGATAATTTAATTTTGTAATTTTCGTAATAGATAACAATGTACAAACTTTGAATTCATATTAATAAAATTCTAATCTTTTTTTTTTTTTTTGGAAAATTCTGATTTTAATAGTATTATTATTATTATTGGTATTATTGGCATTAGGTATATGTATTGTGTGGAATTAGGTATTAGGAACCGTGGCATTAGGGTATATGCATTGTGTGGCATTAGGTATAGGGAACCGTGGCATTAGGGTATATGCACCATGGCATTAGGTATAGGAAATCGTGGCATTAGGTATTATACCTAATGCCACAGCATTAATGTTGTTGTTGCATCAGGTATTGATTTAATCCACAGATCATTGATGCCGTGGCATTAGGTGTCATATGTCGTTGAATTAGACCTACTGCAACGCCAGTAGATGCCACATTACATGGCCGTTGCATTAGGCCTAATGCCACAAATTTTGACGCCTAATGCAACGGATTTGGGGTTGCAATAGATAAAAAATGTAGTAGTGAAATGAAGTTTTTTGAACTTCCCCAAAAGGAAAAATATAAAAAGAATGAATCAAGTGATGGTGCATGTTGATTGATCCTAATCAAGTGTATGTGTTGATGTTGTATCTCATGGTGCAAGGATTGTAGCATCCTAGACTATCACAGTGATGACTCGAAAATGAAAGTATTTAGGTAACATAGGCGCAGAGGCTAAGTACTTCATACTTTGTGATGCAATGATGATTTGATAATGAGTTATTCAAATATGACAAAGCATGCTTCAAGGTTGTATCAATATTTCATGACAAAGGGTTCCTAAGGGAAGGATTATTTGGCTATGTATCTGTGATGTGTGTGAAAGTGACACTAAGGTTAAGCTGCAAACGCTAAGGGTGTGGAAAAATATTTTGAGAAGAGCCAAATGATGGTGACTCTTAGGCTGGGTAGGTTAATGATGTAGGGGTCCAGCCCCCAATTCTAGCTCTAAATGGATAGGGATGAGCATTGGAGATCCCTTGAAATGATCATGTATGAATGTGTAAATGAATGATTATTACGGCCGCACCCCAATGTGAGGTTGCCTACGTATTCGTTAAGAATCAGGCCAAACATAGCTCTAGTCGAACCTCGCACAAGTGTGTGTATACCTTAAGGAGGTCTTTCAAGGGTTGTAACGGGGTTAGGCTAAAGGTTGAAGAAGAAGGGATAAAGGCTTAAGAACCTAGATAAGCCCCTAAGGTGTGCAACCTTGCATTTGAATCTTGGTATTTGTATGCTCGAGGTTTCTCACTTTTGAACTCTTTTTTTTTTTTGCTGCATTTGAGATTTTTATTTGAATTCTTTTGTATAAGTGTAGGCAATCCCGATCATGCGGTCTATCACTCACTTGGCATTCATGTTTCTCAGGCACGGTACCGAGCACTAGATAAGTAACGCTATCCAAGACTTGTTCATATCACAGACATGTTCATATCAAAGACATTGGAACACCTGCCCTTTTGCACATTTTTATTTCTATTTTCTTTTTTGAACTTTTAAATTTTTGGCACTTTTGGTAAAAATTACTCAAGCTTTTGTATTTGGCTTTGAAAATTGCATAAGTTGCACGCCATCCTATCCCAAGGTTAGGTAGATGTGGGTTGAAAAAATGGGAGGTCTATCGTTAGACGAGGCCTAAAGTGGTTTATCAAGAAAGGGATTGTAATTCAAAGGGTGAAGGTGATATGACGTGGCTACAAAGGGTGCCTCAAATCATTAGTATACCTTGTGCTTAGCTCGGTGTTGGTTTTATTTTATTTTATTTTATTTAATGCGATGCAATAATCATATGGAAAGAAATAAATGCTCATTTTATTAAAATGGGAAGGGTGAGAAAACCAACTCTAAGAAATAAATCTAAGGAAAATGAAGGGTGTCTATGCTAGACTTATTAAGGGAAAGGGGAAAAAAAAAGAAAAGTATCATGAAATCTTGTCGTTGAATCCTGCTTCACGCTTTGTGATTATCATCACTCGGTCTTCTTGCCAGCTGGAGGAACGGGAAGCTTGTTATTATCAATAAAATGTTGGATGGCCTCCTTTAGCTTCCAACAACTCTCAGTAGTATGACCCCTACCTTGATGGTACTTGCAGTGTGCATCTGGGTCCCACTTGGATGTTCTACTTTCAAGTGGAGGATCTTGCATAGGTCCAATGGAATGATGAGTCCCTTAGCATGGAGTCGATCAAGGTATCGTAGCTCATCCCGATAGGGCTGAGCTCCTTTCTTAGTTGCCTTCTCGGCCCTTGATTATCCACGGTTAAGACATCATTGAGGTTAAAGGTACTAACATTGTTACTAGAGTGGGTGTGTTCGGAAGAAGAAGGATTGTCATTCTTTTTTCCTTTCCAGCCACTGTTGTTACTATTGTTAGCAACTTTTGATTTTCATAAGGTCATCCTCAATTTCAATGCCTATGTTATAAATAGCTTTGAAATTATTCAAGTTGCATTGATATTTCAAGTGTTTTTGATATTTTTCTTGGAGGTTTTTAATGAACATCCTTACAGACTCTTTCTCGCTTGGAACTTCGATCATTTTAGCAGAAGTTTCCCTTCACTTATTATAGAAAATAGTAAATCCTTCATTTTCTTTCTGTTTAAGTATTTCAAGTTCAATATTACATTTGTATCTATCAATAAAAGCATGTGTAATAGATTTCCATGTAGCGATCTTCTCTTTGGCTATAGAGAAGAACCATTGCTGACATATTGTATCAAGAGAAAGCGGAAGAGTGAAGGGAAAACTCTCCTATCAGTTCCCTTGATGTCGATTGTTTCAAAAGCTCTTAAGTGAAAGTAAGGATTGTCAGTTGGCTTGAACTTAGGAATGTCATTGGCAGAGAACTTTTGCGAAGAAGTTCCTTATCCACTAAGATCCCTTTGGAGCTAATCCCATGGTACTTGTAGTCATTAGACATTTGACTCAAGCTTTCTTTATGCGTTTGATGGTCTCGACTGGTACTTGCTTGCTAGGGTCGTTAACTTGATTAGTGAGCCCCTTGAGAATCTCGGCAAGTCCATTCATAGTTTCTTTAAGTTGGTCAACTTCTTCTTGACTGGCCATTATTACGAACTTTTTCCTGCGTCAAATCGGTCTATCAAAGAGTAGTACTTGAACAAAAAGTGTTGTCCTTGATTAAACGTCCTTCTCTCCTTGACCAAACGCTGTGGAAAGGGAAATTATGGACATTCATTGTCAATCACATGACTCGAACTCGATTTAACATGCATAGATGTGGAAATATCATAGTGTATGAGGTGAGTGGCATGTATGGGGAAAGCATGTAAGATGAAGGAATGTGGAAGGTGTTATAAGAAGGAAAGTGTAATGTATGGAAAGTATGTGGGAAGGTATATGTGAATGTGAAAGGATATGAAAATTTGTGGGAATAAGATGGAAACCTTAACTCAAATGATGGAAAGGACGACTCATGCATGGACCTAAGACATGGTCATGGTGTGAAAAAAAGACATGTACCAAGTGAGTGCTAAGACTTGTGAATGAAAGTGATGTGTTCAAGACTTGTGTCATGACCATGTGAGTAGACATGTGGTTAGACTCATATAAAACCAAAGAAGACCTCGTTTATTCATTAAACCAGTTAATTATGAAAATTAGACTTAACATGAAAAGAAATAAAATAGGTTGGACGCTAAAAAGAACTCCTAACTGGACAGGCTGTAGTATTTAAGTCATAACGTTTGATCTGTGACTCTGATTGGGAGGAAACCAACTCCAAATAAAAGATAAAAACCGGGGCTACAGATCCATAGATTTTACAACTCGTAACTCTTTCTAAAACTCCGTCTATGACCAAAACAAGTTGACACTTGTGCATGATACGGGGATAAAAATCCGGGTTGACTCAAATAATAATAAAAAAAAAAAAAAGAACTATGACTTGGCTTAATAAAAAGGAAGAGGGTTAAATAAGATAAATAAGTCCTAAAATTATTAATTCATCAAAAAAAAATTTAGACTCGATGCGAAGACTCAGAAAGGAAAATCGAACTATCGCAAAACGATGGAATTATCACATTGCGTTGGTTCTATCGCAGCGCGATATAAATATCACGTCGCAATAGAACTTACGTTCTGCGCTACAAGCCAAACTTTCATGCCAGAACTGGAACGTCAGTTTAACTTGTTTTTGGTAATTCTTTCAAAAGGGAAAACTATAGTCTTAGTAGGTCAAGTATGTTTAGACTTTATTAATCCAAATTAATTAATTAACTAAAGTCCTTTTAAGTCATTAATTAGTTTATTAAGATTTTATAAACACAAGTCAACACAAAAGGTTAGTTTAATCACAAGCAAGATATGCACAAATAAGGGATGCACAACTAGTCAAATAGTCACAATATGATGCAATGAGTTTGCAACCTAACCATGGCTCTAGTTCTCTAAAGTTCAAAAATGATGGTAGTCAAAGAGGGTCCATGGTTATGAGTCCGGATGCATCACGCGGAAGCCTTACCTTTGGAAGAGTTGGCGCATATGGATGGGACCCCGCAATTTAGACTTGCTTCCATGGTTTGGTGAATTCACAAACTCGGACGTACCTTCCGTTGCACGGAGCGTTCGATAGGGTAGATGGAGCGTGAATTCCCTGGGGCTAAAATCATATGTAGAACACATATGGGTTTAGAAAAGAAGGAAAAACTCAATCAGGAAGTAGAATCGGCGAAACAGTACTAGAATCGGTCAAAATAAGAAGCCAGATTCATGGCGCGATGTCGGAAGAACTTGGCGAGAGAAAACAGGAGCCATCGCATGGCGATGGGTCCTGTCGTC